TTAATTGGAAATCAAATTTTTAAAAAGAAAAGTAAAGCACACCTATTATTTTGTCCATAAGTGTATACAGGAACAGAACATTCAGCTGAGCCACATTCGTATGAACTGGCACATCTACATATATACTGTATGGTTAGTGCTAGTTCGCACTACCTAAATATAAGATCAAGAAAAAATAACTAAAATATGAGATGAGATCCATTTTTCTCTGATTTCATCTATATGCAGTCGAATTAAGACGTAAAACTCAGAAGTTAGTTTGTCCAGTCCTTCCGTTCCAAATTTTCGCGAAATATGTATTTTGACAATATTTCTGGCATTAGGCGATTTCGAAGTGGGTTGATTGCTTTTATATTATTCTGAAAGGTACCCATCGAAAGTGCACAGTACAAAGTAAGCATGGGGGTGGATTTTTTTCTTCGGCAATTCTAACACCAAGCAAAATGTGCTTTTTTTCTCCGAGCCGACAAAAATTGTTCGATATATTGTAAGAAATATCGATTTTCGTCAAATATCACTTTGAATATTAATATCGTTTTGAACTAAAATATCGCATTTAAGTATCGATATAATATCGAGACCCATCCCTAGCTGAGAGCACAATTACAGTGGGCTTAATAGCTAGTATTATATGTATGTACAGTAGTATTAGGGGATAGTACTGCTACACATTATACATGTTAAGTTAATAAAATAAGCATTTTAGTAAATCACTATCCAATCCGCTGACGGAATTTTCACTTAATAATTCCGCGCTCAATCCGCTAGCGTCCGCGGTGGCCACCTAGGGCGATTCGGACTTTCAAAGTTAATACAGTAATGCCACCTTTTTAAGCCGAATTCGGAAATATGCCCATGAGCTGCCTTGCAGTTGGCTGGTGCGGTACCAGCGACCGGTGAGAAGCCCGATCGGTTAGAAGCTCTGTCATAGCCCGCGGAAGCTGATTTGTGTCCACCCCATTTAAGAGCGCACGTTCTTCGAGTAGTTCCCGAAATGCAACTGGGTCGTCCTGTCCGTCGAACCTGATTCCCCATTTCCGAATCTGTTCCGCGATGTGGGCGGTGTGGCTGTGATGGCGTCCCTCTATGGAAGAGTCCATGGCTGGTACGATCCACTGTGTGGGCGAGCGGCTGGTCTCCGTAACTGGAGGTTTAGGCAAATCGGCTGGCGTTACAAGGCGTGGTGGGCCAGGTGTGCTGTATTCGGCCGCGGTGGGGACTTGTAACCCGAATTTTTGGGTCTGTTTTCCGCTGGTCAGATGTCCCAGAAGTGGTGGGCATGGGCGACCTGGAGCGTCTTGCTGGTTTGGCGTATTGCCGTTCAAGGTCTCCTAGTCGAACCCAGGCGTCTTGCGAGAGTGTTCCGGCTACTAATGCGGCGAATCTCTTTCCTTGACCGTTCCATCGTTCCATCCAACTTCTTCCGCAAGGGCTTCCAGCTCGTCCCGACGGAGTTTGTAGACCCAGCTGACTGTGACCCCTGCATTGGTAAGGACTCCCTCAGGCAAAAATTTATTGGATTGGCAGTCTTCGTGGGCTTCCATGGTGTATTTCTGCAGTTAGTGGCACTGACTTACGTTTGGTTTTTGGTACTTCTTGTAGCACTTTCGTTCAACACTCGTCACTGCGGCACTTCTTTTCGCAACCGGACTTTGCGTGGGCGCGGTTTTTGTGCTTGACGGGTATTGGTCCTCGCTAGCCTAGTTTCTTTCTGTGTCCGTGGGTCCGTTAGTCCACGAAGCTGCGTGTTAAGGTGTTCTCAAAGTTTCCTTAAACTCGCCTTAAAGTTACCAAAAGTCCCTGCTCGGGTGCCAATTGTAAGATACCTTATTTCAGGCTGGGATATGCATCAGCCTGTCCAGGGTTCCTCTACAAGAAATTTTTAGATCTGCCGGAACTTAAGGTTCGGCGCTGGCCCTGAATGACCGAAAGAGTGGTAGGCAAGGTGGGAAATTCGATGACTCGATAACTTCTGTCGTTTTGTTTATTATTTTTAATGCTTTTAGTGTTCTTGGTTTGTTTACAATTTGAACCTGCTTGTCTTGCAAGTTGTGATGCGGGCTGGTGGACTACCTAGTATAGTGTCTTGAGTTTGTGACTGCCTAGTGCAGTGTCTTGCGTTCGGGATGATCGACTGCCTAGTGCAGTGTCTTGGGCTTGGGCTGATGGACTGCCTCGTGTAGTTTCTTGTGTTCGGGCGGATGGACTGCCAAGTGCCGTGTCTTGGTTTCGGGCTGATGGACTGCTTGCTTCTTCGGCCGATCTTGGACTTTTTAAGCAGCTGACAATAATAATTAATTATTGCTAACTTATGAGTAATAATAATAATAACAATAATTGTGGGGTGGGGTAAGAAGGTCGAAGCTTGGTGCTTCGTTGACAATTGGCTAGTTGGTCCGTGGAGTTGAGGAAGTGTTTTGCTGTGTAAAACTTGCGTGCGTTGCTTAACACACCGCTATTTGTAGAGAACCGTGGCTAAAGCCAGGGTTTGTTGGCTGTATGCTATATGTTAGATCGATTATTGTTTCCGAACGGCGTAGATCTGCTGCCTCTCCACTGCTTGTGACTAGCCATGGGTAAAGCCATGGTTCGTTACAGCGGGCCTCTAATGTGGTGAGTTCAATTACAAATTTAATGCAAAAGCGTAACAAAGAGAGTAACAATGAGCGTAAGGTACTACAAAGCGACGGTCATTTAAGTGATTATACATTTAAGTTCATACATACAATGCAACATTTTATGATAGTAAGAGTATGACCGAACATCCCGGCACCGTTGAAATGATTGCTTTCAAACTACTGGAATTGCCAACTTGTGTATTGGCCTGCAGCATGTTCTATTCAAACGTGATCCTAGTGTTTGCCAATGTTCGATTGAAGAGTCCCTTCGCACTTTTGACGGCTGCTTCCCAAAGGTGCCCTGGGAGTAATAAATTAAAAATTAATAAAGTCTCCTTCATGACCATAAACCTTTTGAGTTCAAGCAGTTCATTTGATGCCCCGAAAAAATTCACTCCACAGCGTTCAAAAGATCGGGTAGGAGAGAGTCGAGATGGTGGTAAGGAAAGTAAAGAAAACCTATAGGTTGTTTTATCAACTTTTGTCTGTAGCGAACAGGAGCGACGTGCCATGTCTCTGACGTTGACGATCCAATATGCCAAAGCAATGAGAGTGACTAATTCCTTAGGTCCTGCGTGATAGTTGTGAAGATGCAAGTGGCGAATATAATTCGCAACAATTGATGTTTTTGACCGTCTGGTAGGTCTGAATATTCCAATCGTCCACCAACCTTGACGAGTTCGAATACATTCACGATTTCTAAAAAGAGATTAAGAAACTTCAAGCTACTCTTCAATGGGTTTTGCTTATGAAGTAAACGAATGTCTTCCGAGTTGGCTGATCACACTTTTCCATGACGATATATATGAGCATAGCTTGAGCAATATTCTCAGGTTTGCCGATGGAGAACCCTGTGATTGAGAAGCCAGTATTAGTAGTGAGCATAGAAGTACCGTAGAGAACACTGTTTTTGAGTGTAGGGAATCAGAGCAGCAGGAATAGAGTAAGGAATATGATGAATGGTAACGAGAACCGTAGTAGTGATTTTAGAGATAACCTTGAGAGGAGAATACAGCTGAGAGGGAGCAGTAAGAATTTCAGGAAATGGCTTATTGAAATCATTGTTAGTTGGGGTAGTAGGTGTAACGGCAAAATAAGTTCTCAGAAGTTCTTAGAGACTATAAAAGCTAGAGCAACCGCATTTTTTTACCAGACTCATGTTACCCCGTACCCACAAAGGACGAAAATCTATGGCAGGCACATTTTTTAAGATATGACAAAACTAAAAATTCAGAATCGCAGAGAATGATCATATCTTCTAAATTGTCGAATCTGAACCAGATCACATCATAATTAAAGCCAGAATAAAGAAATTAATATTTAGTTGGTTCCCCCACCTCCAGCAGCGCTTCTGACGCTACTCATTCTCTTTCTTACTTGCACACACTCTGAGAGAAGATGTAGAATCTACATTGTGTATGAAGTATCTACATTTTAGATGTGTTATCGACATTGTAGATGTAGATAACAGATGTAGCAAAAAAAAAAGGGAAATATACAATTTTTTAAATATATACTTAATATCCTAATTAAATTTGTAGAAAAAAATGTATGTTTAAGAGGCTATCTTCGCAACGCGTGCACCAAATTGCATGGATTTTTAAATTATAGCAAAAGTATGTGGAACGGTTTTTATAAACAAAATTTTCCTTGCCAATAAAATATTTGGGATATGCCTGGGGAAGAGTGACACCAGCCGAAGTAGAGCATTTTATTAACTTTAAACAAAACCAAGCAGCTATCTGAGCAGTGTAACCGTACGGAATGCAGTGAACATCTTTGTTCACACAACAGGCCGCTAGAAGAATATAAGGGGTGCCACAAAAATCACTAGCGAAATGGGAATCCGCGCATTTCCGCCGTGCTACAGAATTCCGAGCGATTTCATTTTTTTTTAGATTTTCACAAACCGACTTCGAAGTACGGCTAGAGGTGACACCTTTCAAGATTCAATTCGAATAGGGTTCATTTCGCAGTTTTACTCAAACAATAGCCAGTGGCGCAAAATAACGTAATTCCACCTTTGTTTGCTATTTTCATTGCCCACTCTATATAAATATTTTAACCGCCCATAATTACTCACGGCAGCGGCCGTTCTTTCGCCTCTTTATATCTTCTCCTTCATTTTGCTACTGCAGCTGCAGCATCTATGCTGTTCTCTCGCATTCTCTATCTCTATCTATTGCTCGTACTCAGCAGCAGCCCGAGCTTCTTGCATTAGGGCACGGGCAGTGTTGTTATTTTATGATATTTATTGATGATATTTATTGATTTTTTAAAACTGTACTTTTATAATCTTAAAGCAAAAAAACATTCCATTTCTTGCGCGACAAACAAAATAAATTACTCGACAAATCTAGCAGTTGTCTGGTAGTTCTCCGTACCTGGCAGAAATCAGCTGTTTAAAAAGAACAAACATCTGACTTGTTTTTGCGAAATTTTGTTGAAGGCCGGTCTTCAGTCTTTCCATACCTGTAAAAGGCAATGGTCAATAAAATATCCTATTTCCTTTTTTAAATCTACTTACAATTCGCCACTCCTCTGCAGTTTTAATTAGAGGCCCAAAGCATTCAGCTGAAGCCCCAAGTCCTCCAAAGCTGCGCTAACAACCACCCTGTCCTCTTTGTTAAAATTGCTGGCAATGTCCGAACGCTGACTCGGTTTGCGATGCTTTCCCCTTAAAAAAAAGTCATATTGTATAACAATTAACAAAAAAAAAACGAGCAAAATTTACTTACATTTTGAGCGTGTTCTCTTCTTCTTTTTTTGGCTAGTATGATTATTTTTCTTTACTCAGCTGATGACATTTTAAAGCCCTGCCACCTGGTAGAACTACAAATGACCACAAAAAGCAAGTTTTACTGCAATTCATTTTTTTTTATGCCTAATTAAAGAAAAACAGAATGCTTTCAATATAATTGATAAATAAATAATGATTATATATCTTGCTCCGAATTCGGCTTAAAAAGGTGGCATTACTGTATTAACTTTGAAAGTCCGAATCGCCCTAGGTGGCCACCGCGGACGCTAGCGGATTGAGCGCGGAATTGTTAAGTGAAAATTCCGTCAGCGGATTGGATAGTGATTTACTAAAATGCTTATTTTATTAACTTAACATGTATAATGTGTAGCAGTACTATCCCCTAATACTACTGTACATATAAATAATACTATATATACACAAATAGAGACACTCTCAATGTAGAGAGAGCGCAAAGAATAAGAAGGAGAAAAGAAAAGAATAAAATGAAGAGCGAGATCAGTTTTGGATCGAGCAGAGAAAGCCCGAACGAACCCATAAAAAATGGGTTTCATCATGTATTCATGCATGAGGATTCCAACAAATATACCTCGTTTACAACGCCTTTAGGTTAATTTGAATACACCAGAATGCCATTTGGTCTAAAGAATGCCTCTCCTACGTTTCAAGGATACATAAATAAAATTTGTTCTAATATTGTCAAAGATGGTAGAGTAATTATTTACTTAGATGACATATTAATTGCTTCAGAAAATATTAACACTCACTTTGATATACTTAAGGAAGTTTTTAAAAGAGTATTAGACAACAGTTTAAATCTTCGACTAGATAAATGCGAATTTTTGAAATCGTCTGTAAATTTTCTAGGCTATACAGTAACAGGAAATGGCATTTGTGCAAATGAGATGGGCATAGACGCCATAAGTAGTTTCCCAGTACCCAAAAAAGTGCACGAAATTCAAAGCTTCATTGGTCTATGTTCTTACTTTAGGAGGTTCATCAAAGATTTCGCAACAATAGCAAAGCCATTATATGATGCAACAAGAAAGAATCAAAAATTTGAGTTTAGAGAAGTAGAGGTAGAAGCATTTCAAACGTTAAAAAATAAGCTGATTGAAACTCCGATTTTAGCAATTTACAATCCGCACGACGAAACCGAGCTGCACTGCGATGCAAAAGTAAAGAAAAGTCAAAGATTAGAAAGATTAGAAATTATTAGAACGGGAGCATGAATATTATGAAATGTGCAACGGTGTAATTTATAAAAAGCACAACGAAGAACTCTTATTTTGTGTATCAGAATCAATGATCGAAAGTGTTTTATGATGAAATGACGATGAAATGGGACATGTAGGTGTAGACTGTAACGAACCATGGTTCTAACCATGGATCGCCACAAACAGCGGAGTGTCAGCGCATCCACGCTGGTCGGAGACAATAATCAAACTGATATACACAGAGCCAACGAAACATGGCTCTAGACACTGTTTTCCACAAATAGTGGTGTGTGAGCACCTCCGGAAATAGTCTTAAGCAACGCACGCAATTACTAAAATTAATAACTCTCGATCAACAACTCTACCCATTCTTGTCCACACATCAATTGAAAAGAACCCACCTCTTGCATTATTTTGAAATCAGCAAAGACAGCACTTAAATCTCAGTCACCCACTTCTTTGCGATAGAAGAAAGATCGGCCAAAGAAATAGGCAGTCCATCAGCCCGAACATCAGAGGCTGTATAAGGCAGTCCATCAGCCCGAACCCAAGAGGCTGTACTAGGCAGTCCATCAGACACTGCACTAAGCAGTCACAAACTCAAGACACTACCCTGAGCAGTCCACCAGCCCACAGCACTTCTAGCAAGACCAGCAGGTCTCGAATTGTACACAAGTAAAACGAATAAAAATTTAATAATAACCAAAACCAACAGAAATTAGCGCGTCATCAATTCCCCCCACCTTGCCTACTACTCTTTCGGACGTTTCAAGGCCAGCCCCGAACCTGAAGTTCCAGAAGATCTACAAATTTCTTGATAGGACCCTGGACAGGCCGTTGCATATCCCAGCCTGAAATAGGTATCTTACAAGTGGCGCCCGAACAGGGACTTTTGAGGCTTTAACTTTAAGGCGACTTTAAGGAAACTTTGAGAACACCTTAATAAGGAGCTTTGTGGAGTAAAGACCCACAGCCTCCGAAAGAGACTAGGCTAGCGAGGACAAATACCCGTGAAGCACAAAAACCCCGCCCACGAAAAACCCGGTCGCGAACAAGTAGTGCAGCAGCGCCGTACCTACGAGTGTCGAACGAAAGTTCTACAGTACAGAAGTAACACAAACAAAACGTAAGTCAGTGCCACTAACCACCGAAACACACCATGGAAGCCCACGAATATGGTCAACCCGACGAACCATACCACCATAACAATCCAGGGGTCACCACCAGCTGGATCTACAAACTCCGTCGGGACGAGCTGGAAGCCCTTGCCGAGGAATTCGGATTTGGCAACGAAGGAACGGTCGAGGAACGACAAGAGATTCGCCGCATTAGTCGCCGGAACACTCTCGCAGGACGCCTGGGTTCGACTAGGAGACCTTGAACGGCAATACGCCAAACCAGCAAGACGCTCCAGGTCGCCCATGCCCACCACTTTTGGGACATCTGACCAGCGGAAAACAAACCCAAAAATCGGGTTACAAGTCCCCACCGCGGCCGAATACAGCACACCTGGCCCACCACGCCTTGTAACGCCAGCCGATTTGCCTAGACCTCCAGTTACGGAGACCAGCCGCTCGCCCACACAGTGGATCGTACCAGCCATGGACTCTTCCACATCGCGGAACAGATTCGGAAATGGGGAATCAGGTTCGACGGACAGGACGACCCAGTTGCAATTCGGGAACTACTCGAAGAACGTGCGCTCTTAAATGGGGTGGACACAAATCAGCTTCCGCGGGCTATGACAGAGCTTCTAACCGATCGGGCTTCTCACCGGTCGCTGGTACCGCACCAGCCAACTGCAAGGCAGCTCATGGGCATATTTCCGAATTCGGCTTAAAAAGGTGGCATTACTGTATTAACTTTGAAAGTCCGAATCGCCCTAGGTGGCCACCGCGGACGCTAGCGGATTGAGCGCGGAATTGTTAAGTGAAAATTCCGTCAGCGGATTGGATAGTGATTTACTAAAATGCTTATTTTATTAACTTAACATGTATAATGTGTAGCAGTACTATCCCCTAATACTACTGTACATATATATAATACTAGCTATTAAGCCCACTGTAATTGTGCTCTCAGCTAGGGATGGGTCTCGATATTATATCGATACTTAAACGCGATATTTTAGTTCAAAACGATATTAATATTCAAAGTGATATTTGACGAAAATCGATATTTCTTACAATATATCGAACAATTTTTGTCGGCTCGGAGAAAAAAAGCACATTTTGCTTGGTGTTAGAATTGCCGAAGAAAATAATCCACCCCCATGCTTACTTTGTACTGTGCACTTTCGATGGGTACCTTTCAGAATAATATAAAAGCAATCAACCCACTTCGAAATCGCCTAATGCCAGAAATATTGTCAAAATACATATTTCGCGAAAATTTGGAACGGAAGGACTGGACAAACTAACTTCTGAGTTTTACGTCTTAATTCGACTGCATATAGATGAAATCAGAGAAAAATGGATCTCATCTCATATTTTAGTTATTTTTTCTTGATCTTATATTTAGGTAGTGCGAACTAGCACTAACCATACAGTATATATGTAGATGTGCCAGTTCATACGAATGTGGCTCAGCTGAATGTTCTGTTCCTGTATACACTTATGGACAAAATAATAGGTGTGCTTTACTTTTCTTTTTAAAAATTTGATTTCCAATTAAAATCTTCTCTAATGTCAACCAATCAAGATTTTTTCAAAACTTATATTAATTTTCCTTAAACAAAAAGTAAAAACAGTTAAATTTACAACAAAATTATATATTTCCTTAAATCCTCCAATTTTGTCTGGATATAATAATAGGTGTACGAAGAAAAATGTTTAAATTAAATCGATATTTCACTATTTTAGGTCTTGCTTTAAATTAAATTGAGTATCTGGCAGCTAATACCCGGTATATCCGCCATTATTTTGCAGGACTTTCTCCATTCGTCTTGGCATGGAGGATATTAACTTGAGACAAGTTCCAATTGGAATGTTGTACCATGCTTTTTGGACAATATCCCAAAGTTGATTATTATTCTGACAAAAAGTCTTTCCGACCTCTCTTTTGAGTTCACCCCAGAGATTCTCGATGGGATTAAGTTCCGGGGATTGACTTGGCCACCCAAGAACATCCACACTTTTCTCTCGGAACCAATCCTTTACTACTCGAGAGGCGTGCTTCGGGTCATTATCCTGCTGGAACTTCCATAAAACTTGGCATATTATCCTCGGCATATGGTAGCATCACCGTCTTCTATAGATCTTTGTATACGAATCAGTCCATTATTCCGTCAATACGATGAATCGGACCAACACCATACCACGCAAAAGCAGCCGCATACCATTAGGTTACCACCTCCATGTTTCACAGCTTTACATGTGTACCTGGGATCAAATTCTTTGCCTTTCGGACGACGAACATTCCTTTTGACATCATTTCCAAATAAATTTATCTTAGTTTCGTCACTACAGAGGATATTACGCCATTTTTTCTCACCCTCCGGTCCGCACCAGGTTCTACGATCTAGTAAACATTTTGTCGCCATCTGTAAATTTGCCGACCGAAGCGAAGGAACCTTGGGAGCAATCCTACCCTGGTAGGTTTCCTATTGCCAATCGTCGCCGAACGGTCCGTGATGACACACTATTCCCAACTTCGTTGGCAATCGTCCTGGAAGACATGAACGGGTCGCGTTTTACCAACTGAACCATGCGATCGTCGGTCCTAAAAGATAATTTTCACCTATTTTTCCCGGTTTTAAGGCATTGGTTACGAAGTTTTGAGATCGTTTTATTAACCTGGCCGTGGATTAATGGATTTTTCCTTCATCTCGTCGAATGAGCCTTCTCTCCTCCGCACTGCAGTGACGCCCTCAGCCCATCTATTAAAATTTTAATGACTGTTAAGTCCCAATTTAGTTAAATATTCCTAATACCTTACCTTCTGAAACCAAATAGTTATCTTGATAAACTACATTTTAATGTTTTGCTTCATACACCTATTTAATTGACCAGCCGAATTTGCCGTCTAATAGCCATATGACATTAGACTTAGACAATTTTTCTGCGTAGAGAGGGATAGCATGAGAGACAGAATGGAACATTAGTCCAGCTAGTCAGTTAGCAAAGTCTAATGTCATATGGCTATTAGCCAATCCCGAAAGCTAATTAAATCCGAGAATTCCCCCAATTCCCACCGAAACAGTGTGATCATATTAAAAAAGGATAGTTTCCTTATAAAATGTTATGTCTATATCGATTTAAACCGATATCTCCAGAAAAAAACAACTTTACACCTATTATATTGTCCATAAGTGTATATACTGTATGGTTAATGGCACTATTATACTTTTATACACATGCTAAAAAAAACTAATTTACCAAAAAAAATATATAGCTCATTAATACCGATTTTATCGATATTCAAGGCGATATGACGATATTAATTACGATATGATATCTTCGATATGATATTCTATGTTATATCTTGTTTTATATCATTATCGATATTTGCTTGACGATAGCCAACCCTACTCTCAGCACCATCACAAATAGAGACACTCTCAATGTAGAGAGAGCGCAAAGAATAAGAAGGAGACAAGAAAAGAATAAAATGAAGAGCAAGATCAGTTTTGGATCGAGCAGAGACGAGAAAGCCCGCGTTGTCAACTGGTTCAGAAGCCCACTAAAGTTAAAACTCCCACTCAACTAAAAGCTACTGACTAAAACTATAAAAATGGATGGTCTCGACATCAACAACTATACACTTTTCGGATTTAAGGCTTGGTGTGCTCGATTAAATCTGCCCACGGAGGGTAGTAAGGCCAGCTTGTTCGCAATGCTGAATGAAATTCTTGCATTTGATCGTGGACCTGGACCAATAATCGACAATAAAGGCGCAGTTCCAAACACACAAAGAAAATAACGAAATCAACTACGCATTAAAAGGTATTGGCGAAATTTCTGGAGACTCTGACAACGGCGCTGTACCCACAGCATCAGCTAAACCATTATCAGACAAGGACGGATATACTGACCTGTTCGTTGATTTCGGCGCACACAACGAAACGTTGAGGAAGGAAGAATTGCCGATGGAATTAGTAGTGAAGACCAAAAAAGATGTCAGCTCCAGCCCAACTCCGATAAATAGTACTTTTGCAACACTAGAATAAACCATCGAAAACCTGCAATACGAAAACGAACAGCTGCGCAAAAAAAAAGGTGTCCCATTTAATGTAATAAAAGAATGCGTTCCTGAGTTCAATGGCGAAGGTAATATTGATGTTTGGCTAACCTGCATAAAAAATGTTCAAGCCATTTTCAAATTTGAAGATGACATTATGCGCTCACTCATTTGCGCACGCATTAAAGGCAAAGCCAGTGCTTGCAAACAATTCGCCTCTCTCCTCGAGCATTGATCAAATTCTACATAAACTTCGAGTCATGTTTGGAAACAAAGACAACATTCTGGAAACTCGTCGCAAGTTTGAACAACGAAAATGGATATATTATGAAAAGTTTATGGGGCACTATCATGAAAATTTGCTACTTGCCAAAGATCTAAATATGAACAAACCATACAATACCTGATTGATGGAATCCCGGATCAACAGTTACGCAATCAAGCCTTTCTTCAATGTTTTGTCTCGGCAGAGGCTATGATTATGGCATTCCAGCACCTGAACAAACCTCGTCCACCACCCACTAAGATGCGCCCTTTCTTGATGGACGTTCAGAAGTACACAGGAACTATGTCAGATGTAAGCCAAAAGGGACCACCACTACTTCGTACGCCCAGATGGAGCTTGCTATGCCTGTAGTTAATACGGGCATGTGGCCAGAGATTGCAAGCTGTATAAAAAGAACATCAAAGAAACTAAAAATGAAACTGAAATGATATTATAATATAAAATTTCCTCATTGTTATGACAAAGTATATTACATAGAGTGCCTCCTAGACTCTGGAAGTCCGATCTCATTTCTTAAACAATCAATAGTTCCTGAAGGACTTAAAATTCGTTACACTGAAGATCATGAAGATTATGTTGGAATAAATAATAGTAAATTAGTCATTTTTTGAAAAATATTTTGTAACATTATAACTTCAAATATATCTGTTAATATTGAAGCTATGGTCGTGAACAACGAGTCTACTAGGTACAACATGGTACTAGGTAGAGATACTTAGAGCTATGCAATTTACAATTGATTTCAGTGAACGATATTAAGACCAGATTGATCGACATAAAAGGGTATGATAACTGTGTACAGCCTGTAAGGGAAGGCATCACAAAAAACAACATAAAGTATAAGACAATGTAAAGTCTCAACAATAGAGTCAAAAGAAGGGTCAAAAGTACATCCAAAAGTGAAGCAAAAAAGTCAATGTTGTGAACTATCACAAAGTTAAATCAAATAATAAAATTAATATTACAAATTCAAAGCCAAAAGTAGCGAAATCCTATTAAAAACAAGGTACATATACAAGGCAATGAAAACGTAAACATCAACGTAGAGCGAGCCAAATCATTTTGATAAAGAAATGTTAGCCATCAATGTTGTGCAAGAGCGAAACGGTAATTTCAAGGTCGGGGAAGAAATTAATTATAAATTAAGAGAACAATTCGAACGAAGAACAATATTTGCTAGCCAATGGATTGCTAGAACCCAAAGTAAAAACTGTAATGAAAATCACGGTTGAGAGTGATAAACCATTCAATTGTACACCGCGAAGATTATCATATATGGAAAAAACAGAAGTACAAAAGATTCTAGATGAAAACCTAGAACTAGGTTATATACGTCCTAACGAATCAGAGTTCGTGTCACTAATAGTTCTAATTAAAAAGAAGACTGGCGAGCTTAGATTATGAGTAGTGTATCGTAGGCTGAACAGAGTAACTATAAAAGACAACTATCCAATCCCTCAGATAGATGATCTGTTAGAAAGGTCAGCGAACATGAAGTTATTTTCCAAGCTAGATCTAAAAAATGGGTTTCATCATGTATTCATGCATGAGGATTCCAACAAATATACCTCGTTTACAACGCCTTTAGGACAATTTGAATACACCAGAATGCCATTTGGTCTAAAGAATGCATCTCCTACGTTTCAAGGATACATAAATAAAATTTGTTCTAATATTGTCAAAGATGGTAGAGTAATTATTTACTTAGATGACATATTAATTGCTTCAGAAAATATTAACACTCACTTTGAGATAATTAAGGAAGTTTTTAAAAGAGTATTAGACAACAGTTTAAATTTTCGACTAGATAAATGCGAATTTTTGAAATCGTCTGTAAATTTTCTAGGCTATACAGTAACAGGAAATGGCATTTGTGCAAATGAGATGGGCATAGACGCCATAAGTAGTTTCCCAGTACCCAAAAAAGTGCACGAAATTCAAAGCTTCATTGGTCTATGTTCTTACTTTAGGAGGTTCATCAAAGATTTCGCAACAATAGCAAAGCCATTATATGATGCAACAAGAAAGAATCAAAAATTTGAGTTTAGAGAAGTAGAGGTAGAAGCATTTCAAACGTTAAAAAATAAGCTGATTGAAACTCCGATTTTAGCAATTTACAATCCGCACGACGAAACCGAGCTGCACTGCGATGCAAAAGTAAATAAAAGTCAAAGATTAGAAAGATTAGAAATTATTAGAACGGGAACATGAATATTATGAAATGTGCAACGGTGTAATTTATAAAAAGCACAACGAAGAACTCTTATTTTGTGTATCAGAATCAATGATCGAAAGTGTTTTATGATGAAATGACGATGAAATGGGACATGTAGGTGTAGACTGTAACGAACCATGGTTCTAACCATGGATCGCCACAAACAGCGGAGTGTCAGCGCATCCACGCTGGTCGGAGACAATAATCAAACTGATATACACAGAGCCAACGAAACATGGCTCTAGACACTGTTTTCCACAAATAGTGGTGTGTGAGCACCTCCGGAAATAGTCTTAAGCAACGCACGCAATTACTAAAATTAATAACTCTCGATCAACAACTCTACCCATTCTTGTCCACACATCAATTGAAAAGAACCCACCTCTTGCATTATTTTGAAATCAGCAAAGACAGCACTTAAATCTCAGTCACCCACTTCTTTGCGATATTTCGCAACCACCCGGCCTCAAATTATAGACCCAAATTCAGATATCACCTTCCGCGATGCGGAGTTAGCAAAAAAAATCCTAACTGCAGACCGCACTTTCCGCGATGCAGTCTCAGCAAAACCATACTGACCCACTAACAATTGTAAACGAAGCACCCAGTTTCGACTCACTTACCACAATTATTGTCACCCAATCATAAGTTAGCAATAATTAATTATTTCCGGGTCAAAGACAGGTGCAATCGCCAGCTGCATAAAAGGGCCAAGATCGGCCAAAGAAATAGGCAGTCCATCAGCCCGAACATCAGAGGCTGTATAAGGCAGTCCATCAGCCCGAACCCAAGAGGCTGTACTAGGCAGTCCATCAGACACTGCACTAAGCAGTCACAAACTCAAGACACTACCCTGAGCAGTCCACCAGCCCACAGCACTTCTAGCAAGACCAGCAGGTCTCGAATTGTACACAAGTAAAACGAATAAAAATTTAATAATAACCAAAACCAACAGAAATTAGCGCGTCATCAATTCCCCCCACCTTGCCTACTACTCTTTCGGACGTTTCAAGGCCAGCCCCGAACCTGAAGTTCCAGTAGATCTACAAATTTCTTGATAGGACCCTGGACAGGCTGATGCATATCCCAGCCTAAAATAGTTATCTTACAAGTGGCGCCCGAACAGGGACTTTTGAGGCTTTAACTTTAAGGCGACTTTAAGGAAACTTTGAGAACACCT